AATCGCGCGTAAATAAAGGCCATTTTAATATAATATTACGATAAAAATGGCACGATGAATTATAATGGAAATATGATATTAAATATATTTCTATTTCTTGCACTTATTTAGCTTGGAAGAAAATTCATTTCGGATTCCAAAAATGAACTCGTGTTTCGTTTTTTGGATATACCTTTGCTTGGAATCCTCCACTGCAAAGGGTGCAAATCAGCTGATGTCTACTACTCAACGATAAAAAGTATTTTGAATCTCTAATGAGGAGAGAAAGAAATATTTGCTGACTGAGAGAACTCAAGTGTCTGTATAGTGAGTGAGCTCAAATTTAACAAATACTGAGTTTTTTAATAATGCGGAGAACAAGTTCGTCTGCTTCTTGCGCAGGGGTTGCGGTGACGTCAGAATGCTGAGCTCTGATTGGCTGGAGTGGAAAGATAGTGGGTCACCGAGACCCACTATCTGAGCGTCGCCTGCCCTTTTGCAACGTCGTCTGCTATTCGACAGCTGTCTTACCTTTACGAGCGAGCTCGACTTCGCCTTTCAGAAAGGACAGACGAAATAACTCGAGCGGTACGATGCGTTTTTGTCTGACAACTAGCAGACAGTTATTTAGGAGCCAAGCCAAACGACTCACGGGCGAGGTGGCCGACACGCCGAGGTTTGTTGGCTAACAACCGAGAACGAGGGATTAGTTTCCGCAAGTTCCCTCATTTCGATTGCGGCGTCGAGCGTATCGCGGAATTTATGGCGTAGACTCGTTGACATCAAGAAGTAATTCTTGTTTGTTTTTTTTGGCGAAATTTTATGGAAACTTATTTTTCTATGCCATGTTATTTAAACAGACATACACGTACTCGGGAGAAATTCGATGGACTTCAATTACCCCTCTGTATTTGCTCAAGTCACCTTTCTCTAAGGTTACTGTTTTAACAGACAGGGATTAAAACACGCTGCTTCCTTCAGTGTAGCGCGCGTACGGTCCCGGACATCTAAGGGCATCACAGACCTCTTATTGCTCTGTTTCGTGCAGCTAGCAGCCGCCAATCTAAGAAGGGTGCAAGGTGCAGAGAAACACGCACCTATTGATTAGGCTAGAGTCTCGTTCGTTATCGGAATTAACCTGACAAATCGCTCCACCAACTAAGAACGGACATGCACCACCATCCGCTGAATCAAGAAAGAGCACTCAACCTGTCAATCCTTCCAGAAATTTAAAATGCGACACACCGTCGTGAATGCGCCCACAACATCCGAAGACGCAGCACGTTTTCATTTCCCCTTGTAACAGGACAGCGCTTGATTGCAGCCAACCTCTAAATCACACAGCACAAAAGCGGAATGTTTTTTCCTCTTTTTTTTTTTTTTAACTAGCAACCACGCCAAGGACTGATGGCTACAGACAAGAGCTGCTGCAGCACGTCCGTCATTGCCGACGCCGAGATGTTTGCATTGGCAACCCCTCACCCCCCCCAGGGAGGCAGTGCTTAGTATAACCTCCTCTTCCACCTTCACACCTCCTTTCTTATGCGCAGAGGACCGTAATGCGCCCACTTGCAAGGCGCATAAATTCCCCTTATATGTCTGACGAGTAAATTAAGATATATTGAGCTTTTAATAATTACACTAATTTAAAAATGTAATGAGTAAAATCAAAAGAATGTGTATGGCGTTGTCCAGACTCATTTGCATTCCTAATATGTAAATTAAAAAAATAATAAGGTCTTCATCACCAAATTCAATTACATTCTACTGACCAAATTTAATGGTCTGTATATCGAGTTTCTTGCGATACACTCATTGACGTTAAGTAAATATTGAATTTCAATTGACTATGTCACATTACATTGAAAGCTCATTGATAATATCGGTAAAAGAAAGTGAAAAAAGAACTACAGAAAAACAATGTTTCCGCCCGGGATCGAACCGGGGACCTTGCGCGTGTGAGGCGCACGTGATAACCGCTACACCACGGAAACCGACACAGACAGGAGACTTCTGAAGGGACAGTTTGAACGCAGTATCCTTTTTAATAATTTCAGTTCGTCCTGTTGTTTATAATCGTAATGTCTCGATCTAAATTTTAAAAACAACATTAGAAGTATTACTGATCCTAGATTTAATGTCAAAATAGCAGAATACCTTTGCATTTTTATTGCACAAAAAAAAAAGAACTTACTAACCATAATCAAACAATATAGACGGTGTTTTCTTAGTTCAGAATTTAAAAAAAAGGAGCATGTGATCAAGTCTTTAGCGCTCAGGCCAAGTTGGCGGACATGGCGACCCTTAGAAAACAGGCAAAGTGAATTAGTTCTTTAATTAACTGAGAGGTTCTTAGTTAAATAAATAGTTAAGCGTTTACAATTTTATTTCGCAGGACACGGCCTAGTCTTCATGTGAAATTTATATTAAAACTAGTAGTGAACGCTACGGGGCACAAAAGACCCTGTCCCGACTTGAAAACGAAACGAAGTGGACAAAGAGCTGCGTTATTGCTGTATCCTTCCCTTGCGGAGCCGGGGGAGAGCGATAGAATCGACAACTGTGGTTATTTTCGCAACCTTAGATGGGGATCAAAGCCGTAATCAAAGGTTGAATTTAACACCCTGTAGCACCTAGCGAAAATTTGTTTTAATAACATTTCACAACGCGTCAATTACCTGCATTTTTTACGACTCCGAAAATAGGTAGTCAAATATTTGTCGAAGCTTTTCAGTTAATAAGCTAGCCTAATCAATTAATTCCACCTCTTTTCTTCTGGCCGCCACAAGCACCAATTTTTGCATTGAGGCTAAAAAATCCTTACGCAAGTTTATTTTTTTTCTTAGTTCAGAACCAACAAAAGTTACTCCCTGTACCGTATAGCGTACGAGAAAAAAGCATTAGGCTTACTCCGACTTTACACCAAGGAAGCGATTTTCTTCAAAGCAAAATTTGTTCTTTCTTTGAGAAATAGGTGCCTCAAAATTCCGAAGAAGTCAAGGCAGAGCTCTACTTGACATGATGTGATGTAGCTGCTAATGGCTAATGGCTAGCAGACGGCGGGACATGCTGGGAAGCGCGCTGTAACCGCGTGGTGACCGCGCGCTTAAAATGTTACCTCAGCACGCTTCGGGGACGAACCGATTGTCCGATAGTTGCTCACTCGAGCCCCTTACGAATGCCTTTTTTTTTTTGGTGAGAAATTAAGTATCCTCAATATCTCTATTTTGTCTAATCAGCTGAGTAATATCTTGTCTGCTGTTTTTTTTTTTTTTAATTTGAATTCATTTTTGCCTGTTTACCGGAAAAAGAAAAGTGAGCGAAACCCCAAGGAAGAAAGAAAGAGGCATCCCGCCGTCTCGTCATTAATAAATAAGACCCAATTGCGTTAAATGATAGATGGTGTTTTTATCCTGAGTAGATAAATGCAACGAAAAATGTAGAATATACTACGTGCACTATTTCGTGTATGCCAGTCCGAAAGTCCTCTACCCCGGTTGCAACTAGTTCCTCGAACGACATTTCATCGACGGATTGTTTTATCGAGATGTCCAGGTTTCATCGGCAATGCGTTTCATCAAAGGGTCCAACGTTTGTTTCATCGACGCATCCTGCTACGTTTCGTCGACAGCTTTGTTCCGCGTATATCACCTTGGCACCCGGCATCCTGATGGTAGCGTAGCTTACCGAAGCCATGGCGCTTCCCACGAGGCTTTCTGCAAGCTGGTGCCTGAGATGAAAGCTCACCTTTATCGAGCCCAGCGAAGCCAAGCGTGGGGTGGTCGCGAATGAGAGGAAGCCTGGATGACCTGGCCTCAGGTTCTAAATTCATTTTGACTTTATTCTCCGTTTATTTGTGGTTTGGATCTCTTGCTGACTCTATTTCCGGTTCGGCAGCTGGTTCTGAATATATACTGACTTAATATTGGCTAACGAACTATAAATAGCATATGCTCATGAGTCATATAATTGCTGTCTAATGGAGTTGAATGCTTTTAAAATTGATGCGTACCCCAGTGTGTAACGCAAATTAATTGTGTACGCAATTTTCGCCTAATGTTTATAAATTGTCTATATTATTTCATGTAGTCCTTGTGAATTTTAATTACTATATAATTATTATAGTTTGCTTTCTACGACTTTCTATATAATGATTTTGCTTTATTTTAAATTGTTTGGCATGTTTCTCGTTGTACGTCAATTAAATGGTGCTAAGACCTTGACAGGCATTTACGCTTTTTGACTTAGCTTCCTTGTGCCGTAAAATACCGCAGACGTAAATATTGGAGAAAAAAAAGCCTGCCGCTTGTTTGACAGCGCTGACACTCGAGATTCAGGTCTTAATAGGCAATTTACTGCACTCAAGAATGGGATGTCCTATCAGCGAAAAGAGGAAGCAATGAAGTAAAAACAACTACATCGTGCATTCTTGAAAAGATAAAACGTGAAAATTACCTATCGAGAAAGTTTGTTTTGGCTCACTATTTAACATGAACATAGCAAGGTGTTAGGAATAATCACCAGCGCAATATTATCTAAATAGCCCCTATTTGGATATCTCGCTTTCTCCTATAATAACGCCCAAAGTGGCTCCGTTCAGTAAATATATAGCCTCCTCATTATATGGCCTCTTGTGCGTAGGGGGCTAAAGTTTTACTTATTTTAGGACCGAGCTGCATTTGAAGATATTAAAGCAAATAAAGACTAAAGGTTTAGTGCACTTACGTTACTATGAATAATCACAGCCGTCGATGTTCATTACGATTATTATGTTAGTTACGAATTATACTAAAATGGCATAAACCATTTCAGTATATAAATTAAAAGTTACCGAAAGGCCTTACCTCTTAAGTTACCCAACCTATGACGCTGTCGCGTGGCCTCGTGAATGCTGCTGCAGTGTACACTGAACCAGTTATCGCACTTGCGTGAATGGAGGACTTAAAATGCCGACACACAGATGGCATGCAGGAAGGAATTAAGTGTAGGAGTGTTAGCCGATAGAGCGGACCTCCCGTAACATGCCTAGAGCAGGTGCTTTAAAGTGAGTCACGTAGTATAGTCACGATCAGAATGTTACGATCCTCAACCACATGAAAAATTAATTTTAGGGGGTATAAAAGGGAGCAAGCTCTTTTCCAGAATCACTCTGCTTCAATCTTGAAGATCGTGCATTGTTGGATATCGTCGCCAGACCTGAAAATGAAGGCCTTCGTGAGTACTAGTTCATGTCCTTTTTTTAGAATTGACAAGACAGCAGACAGGTAGTCAAAGGCAAACCTTTAAATGGAGGTTTCGACACAGTCGTTCATCTGCCGATAAGTGCAATTTCTTAAGGTCTATTTGTAACGAAATTGCTTGACCGGTGAGAAGTTTCACGCGAAACCTTCCCACCTGACCGACATATGTTTTGGATTTTAACTACGGCACAGCTAGGCGACACCAACACTCATATAAAAGCTTCTACCAGAACAAACAGTGCTAATGGTTGGGCGAGTTTGGTGCTGAATTTGAGAATATATGGTAGCGCTCGAAGAGAATGACAAGGTAATTGTCTTTGATCGCGCTCAGATGTATTTACAAATACCGAACTGAAGGTTATTCTAGATCCTAACGTCCACTTATTCGCGAAGTGCCGCAAAATACCGAAAGAGCGCCCCCCCCCCCCCCCCCCCCCCCCTTCACTCTGGCTTGAACTAGGTATGGGCGCTTGTCCGGGAAAATTGGGCGCGTAACGTATACTTTTCGGAGTTCCAAAGTTTGGGGAATGTTGGTAGTGGGCGATTGAACAAAGTGGAAGCTTCCGCGGCCTTTAGCGGTAGCTGGTGTTTCACAGAAAACCAGACCACTCATTTCCAAATTTTCTTCTGCTTGCGTTCTTTAGATTTTGATATTTGCTCTATTTTGGTTATAATTCTTTAAAACTCGCCAGAGGTGTGCACCCTTATTGCCTACAGCGTCTTTCTGATAAAAACCAGGCCCGTTTTAATACATGTTTTAATAGCTTTATTGTTTCGCGAATCTCTAAGTAGGCTCTGTGATGATTAAAGAATAATATGACGACACTCTTATTGTGACAGTCTAATAGATACGAAAAACATAAATCGGCATATTTCAGTTCAAGGCTTTCTTTCTGGATATTTAACAAACTTTATTGCGATTAGTTTTTCTCTAAATATTAGACACAAGAATAATTTGCATTTAAACATTAGAAGCATCCTCTCCTTTCTAAGTACTCTAATCGCTCGAAATGATATTGACTGACCCTATCATGGTTCCTTCGAACAGATTAACACCGGTTGGAGCGTGCAAATTTTTGTTATAATTATTTTCTTTCTAACACTATAATTAATACATTCACGACAGAAAACGTTCAAAAAGTTTTAATCAAGAGCTTTTTTTTTAATTAAGCAGCTTGTGTGGTCTTTGAAATTAAATGTTTTAAGCAATTTTATGACATAAAAAATAATTATCATGCGTATCTGTTCATTTCATCATAAATTTTTCCTAAATATAGTACGTGTTCATTAAAATTATTTGATCTTCCTACTTGTTATGCGGTTACTTCGTATTCGTGCCTTAGATATGTGGCCGATATGAATATACGCTGTTAGTGCACATGAGAAAAAAAAAGGCATGCGCAAGGTCGTGGATTTTAATTATTCAAACCAGGAGTGTACTTTATATCTTTTTAGATGACCCAATGAGTTTTGAAAAACAATAAAACCGCCCTGTTTTTATGAGGCCTTTCAACCGTGCCAACGGGTTTGCGCCCATTCCCCACTGAGTATGCAACATGGATGCCCATGCCTGGATTGAAGGTTTCTAGATATTTCAACCGATCAATCAGGCCGTTGCCACATCACACTCATGCAATCGACAGAAAAAGATGTATTTGCTACTAGATAAATCGACTGCTTTATTTACTTGCTTTCAGTTCAGCGCCACCGTCTTCGCGCTTCTCCTTGCCGTGGCCACGGCGGGACACCTCAAGGGTGCCCTCCTCGGCGGTCTCGGCGCCGGTGCCCTGGGCCTTGGCCTGGGCGCTTTGAGCCACGGTGGAGGCTTCAAGGGGGGCTTCGGCCCTAGCTACGGATACGGTGGCGGCTTTGGTCACGGCCCCATTTACGGAGGTGGATTTGGTGGTGGATACGGTGGCAGCTACGGCGGCTCCTACTATGGCACCTACGGAGGAACCTACGGGGGACACTACGGAGGTGGCTTCGGTGGCCTCGGTTTGGGCCATGGCGTTGGCCCCGGCTTCGGTGGATTTTACGGATAATTAAGTTTACCTCAGCCCTTATGAATGTGAGTACTGATTCTCGGCTGGTGCGGGGTTTCTATTTTATGTCTCCGCCAGAGTTCTCCGGATATTGCACCCGAGGAAGTCGCTGAATCTACTCAATTATGCCTTAGTAACCTATGACAAATTTGCATTCGCCGAACTTGCCGTTGACCTCTCAGCTCTTCAGAAGTCTGCGAACAAAGGGAACTGTTTGCACTATGTAATAAAACAATACCTTAGATTTATATATATATATATATACATATATATGTTAATTTGTTTAAAGGTAGAGAAGCAGCTCTAATATATATATATATATATATATATATTTAAGGCTGTTTCTCGATCTTTTATAAGATGCTTGTTGGGGAATTAAATACGAGCTACTACGAATTACATGTGAGAGACGTAAGCTGAAGTTACTGAAAGCTTAAGAAACGCAGGGCGTGGCACTACTGTGCGGAGACGAAGTTACAGGGTTTGCATTGATGTCAGAGGGCCGGGCGCTTATTGGCTGATTGCAAACAAAATTGTGGGTAGACCCGAAGGCATCTAGCATTGAGGTCTATTAACTATCCTCAAAGTCAATCGGAACTCGGCGTCGTTCTGACGCCACCGCAACTCCTGCGCAAAAGTAGAAGACGTGCTCACCGCAATGGCTCTGAAGCAAATGACGCAGTTTTAGCCCATAAGAGCGCCAATAAGCGAATTCACAAAGCGAGAATGGTGAAATACAATATGGAGTGGCCGGCACTGCGCAGACAGCTCCAGTATCTATAAAGAATTACTGATTTATGAACGTAGAAAAGAAATATTTAACGAAAAAATTCCAGTAGTGCGTTTCGTAAGTTGTCGGTCACCCTAATAAAGTTTCCTTGTGGAGACTCGCGCCTCAGTAAAATAAACAAGAAATGTGTACTCTAAAGAAATACCAAGCATATTAGCGATTTCGTCTTATCACTCCAGCTTGGTGCTGTAAGTGCGGAAAAACAAAAATAATGCTGGCTCGAGGATGATTTTTACGAGCTGACTAAATCAGGGTCCTATTATTCTCCTTTTTGCAGGATCCGGACAAACAAGCAAGAAGTGTCCACAACGGTGCTTCTGAAAGAAACATTTTTTCCCAATTGCAGTCTGCAGTTCCGCTTCATAAAAAAAAATAATAAATGCAAATTGTACATACAACTAACGTATTCTGCGTACGAGAGAGTTTTCTTATTCACAGTTTTTGGTATACATTCAAAGTAAAGGAGTTGAGAGACTATTAAGGTTCACATAGTGTGAATATTTGTTTTATAGTCACACAACGTAAAACGGAAAGGGCACTCGTCTGCTTTTTCGCTTTCACACCTTGATTGAAAGTTTTCTGAGGTTGTGTTATTTCTACCCAGGAATTCGCTATCTCGTATTCAATGTCTCAGTGACTGAGCATAAATCTTCGGTACTTTTATTCGTGATCGGCACGCGCACTAAACCACATACCTTAAACTCTTCCAAATAAATCGAGCCAGGTGCTATATATTATAATTCTTAAATTAAAGTTAGATTATTATATTAAAATTTACTTTAACTTCTTTAACAGGCGACCCAATTGTGGAGCGTCTAAGGACGTTTCATCCCTTCGTGTAAAACAAGAGCGGTGTGAGTGGGGATGGTCCTTCTCCGTCTGTCAGCTTGTTCAACCCTTTTATGAAGAGTTCGGTCCGGAATAAAATTTTAGCTATGCTTAAGATGTATTCTTTTTCTTCTCTTGGTGTCAACTTTCGTATTCTCCAGTCTCCGGTTACCCTGAAAAGTGCAGTATACACCAGTTCACTTGCGCCCTTACGGTTTGTTCGTTAATGTATTCGTCTTTATCTTAAGTTCCATTCGTTTTTTAAGCATACACTGCTGGACATTTTAAAGAAAATGTTGTAATACAGCAACAACAACCTCCGTACACTCAACCTTCACACTATTGAAAAAAGCGAAAGGGGAGCAATATGAGCTCCCACGGCGACATGCGTATACCGTGAGGAAAACATGCCATGGGCGGGGCACTAAGTACGTTAGGTAAAACGTGCAGTTTGAATGTTCGAAAGCATTCAATTTTACCACCTGACAATATACGTAATTGCTTAGCTCTTCTGAGGCACTCCATTCGGCATTTTATTCCCTGGAGCCGAAACTCGGATGAAACTCACATTGCCGCTTATTTTGAACGTGCGTTTTGGAGGAATTAATACTTATCAGACCTATTGTTCGAGGTCGCTTGATCTTCCCACTTTGTTACAAGGAAAATCCTAATTGAATTCCGGCACTCACTTAAAAATAAAAAGTAGTTCTCTAGTAAGGCATATCCACAAATTCAGTAAATCTAAGAATACTCGTATGCCCTAGTCTCACTTGAGCGACGAACGGCAACAACCGACACCGACCAGGCTTGTGTACGTGCTACACGCATATGAGGATATCAATCTCCGGCTTGCCAACTCTCGGTTTTCGCGAGTTGAAAAATAGTGACTGCAAGCCTAGCTGATATGCTTTCGCGTGAATGCTGGGTGTGTGAGTTTGGTCGATGTCGGTCGCTAGTGTTAGTCGTTTAAGGGAAACTATGGTTTTGGGAGCAAAATCCTATGAATGCAGGCGATCTGGTCTGTGCTAAACATTATGGCAACCACAAAATTGGAGGAGAATAGGGTTTGAACAGTAGAGCAGAGACAGAACGAGACACACAACGTCCGTAACTTTTTGAGCTTACGGCTTTGGCCAACATAACGCTCTGGACTTTCACCAAACTTGATACTTCATATTGATTTATTACAGCCGCGGCATACGAAGCACTTACACGGATTTGTTTCGTTGTAGTTATTCAGGCGGTTGAAAACAAATGAACACAGATTTCAGTCGCATGAACACTATCACAAGCCTTACTACCGAGACATTGATATTTCATCAGATCCTCTGTGTTCCTAGCCCTCCATTTTATGGACACTCTAAATTGCTTAAAAGAATCGATGATCACTCGCATACGCATGAACTCATAAATCGAGTACAGTTCTCATCTCGAGTATCTTCCCGAAGCAAACTCTGTCGACTACACGGCCTGTGGTTAAGTTCTGAGTTACCGCCTTGAAGTTCGCGTTTTTACGTATTCCATTCGCCTTATTGCGACCGTACGCCAACTATGAGTTCTAGGCACAAAAGTATCCTAGATCCCATCAACACACCTCAGATCTACCAGATGTGGCGCTGGCCATCATTGATGGCAAAGTAGGCCTTTGATGACGAAAGACAAATGCCCGCATACATGTTACTTTTAGGTTTTCGACTGAGAAATAAAAAGGCAACCGCGGCATTCGACTGCTGGCGCATGGTCTCATTCGCAAACTACACAAGCCATCCGCTACGGGTGTGCCATAGACTTTGCCAAGTAGTGCTAATTCTGAAAAAAACAAAACTAAAATTTTTAAATGCGACACCACTTTTCGCTACTTCACCTGCTGTTCGCGATACGGGATCTGGCCTCGAATGCGACGTCCGTATGCGTGGTGCGCGTGTGCTCCACGCATACGCGAGCGGTTGCACTCAGTTGATCGAACATTCTTAAAAAAATGGAGTAGAAATGTAGCAACGGCGCGTTTTCCTCGCTTCCACTGACACGCTCCCAAGCGGACACGAGAATAATAATAATAATATTTTATTTCCATCACACTCGATGGCGGCGACCAAGGGAAAAAGCTGTATACACAGCTTGACGAGCCCTTGACCGCATACAGCGCACGGCGACGGAACACAACAGGAAAAAAAAAAAAAAACATACATACACACAGAGGTTGCAACACGCAAAAATTCACCATATCAGATCAAGCAATATAATCAAATACAAGAACAGTGATTTTAACTAGTTATCATGGCCACCCATAATATAAAATGAACGGATTTCCCCTATTGACATTTTATTCCAGTCCAAGTTTTTCGATTCGTAAAGATTTAGTAAATTAGGAATATTGTGCCTCAGCATTTGAGTGCCATAATTTGTCCTTGGCGTGACCACCCCCAACATTCAGCGCCACGAGTAGGATAAGTAATAATATTTTATGAGAGGCGGCCAAGGGTTACTAGAAAGCTTGTGTTCCTAATTAGCTCTATCTTAAGGCTTGTACTGAGCCTGTAAGAATACAAAGTGTGCACATTGATAATGCGGAACTTTTTGAAAAGGTCGGATGTATGCGATTGAAATGGTACATTGGCTATGGCTCTTATTGCCTTTTTTTTTTGTAACAAATGTATCCTTTCAAGATTCGTTGAAATGGTGGTACCCCAAACTAAATTACAATAATTTAAGTGCGGGGAGAACAAGGAATTATAAACTAGTAACTTGACGTGTATCGGTAAGGTATAACGATGGCGGTTTAACATGCCGACAGTTCTAGACAGCTTTGTAATAAGGTAGTTAACATGTTCATCCCACGACATATTATCGGAAAAAATGGCGCCTAAAATTTTGAAGAAATTTACAATCTCAAGCTTGGTTGAGTCTAAACTAAGATTTTTCGTTGTGTTGATTATTTTATTTTTAGGGCGAAAGAGCACTGGCTTCTGATTTTTCTGTGTTTATTTGAAGTGAATTGTATGTACTCCACAAATTCAACCCGGAGAGCATTCGGTTCGCCTTATCAAATAATAAGTCGGTATTTTCTGCAGAGAAGAAGGGAGAAACGAGACGTTTTTTCTTCCTCAAGGCAGACTGGGGAACGCTTCCGTCCTCCTGACTCATCTTCTTTCAGTTTCGTTTTGCGAGCACGTCGCGCACGATGTTTAATAAATGTTGAGTTGATTGAGCTTTAGCAGCAGTCAACGTTACTAAAACCTTCAGTTGGGAAACTCACCCTTGAAACCTGGGCCGCTGGCGTCCACCGATACCGAGCAAAATACGATAACAGCGCCACCCTTTAGCGACGAGTTCAAACATGAAAGTTGCTTTACATAGCTACTGCGAGCAGAGGGTAAAGGTG